GAACCCCATAATATACCACAATCAAACCCATATTTCTTCTCAACTTTCAATTGTCACCCTTCATGACTTGCACCATCACTCTACTACAATTTCCTAAACACAATTGGCGCGCCGTGTTGCGGGTGCAGGAGCATGAGAATAGATGGCGCGTGCTGATAGGTCGGCGCCAGCTCAAACGAGAACCGCTGGATGATCATAGCAACTGCCAGCCTGGCCTGCAGGACAGCCAAGTTCTGGCCCACGCACCTACGGGCCCCAACGCCAAACGGCATGAAGGCCATCGGGTGCTTGGCTGCATGGGCCACCCCTTTCACGAACCGGGCCGGGTTGAACTCGTGCGGGTCGTGGCGCCATAGGGTCGGGTCGTGATGGACGGCCAGGATCGGGATGAGGAGCTCCGTGCCACGCGGGATGTGAAGCCCACCGCCAACAAGTGTGTCTACCTTAGCACGCCGGATTATGGCCACGGCCGGCGGGTATAGCCTGAGGGATTCATTCAGAATCATGCCAAGCTGCATAAATTTTGGACAATAAAAGGATTTAAGTACACCCGGCCCCCTAAGTAAATAAAATTTACGTGCGGAGACGGAACTAATTAATTAATTAAATTGGAAGATAAAAGATATGCTTGTGTTTTAAACATTTGATGATGTTTTGATACATTTTGGGACCAATGTAACAATGATAAATTAATAATAATTCATGTCACTAGCGAGTAGCTATTATGTATCTCCATTTAGATCAATTATTGATGAGTATTTACTAATTTGTTGAAGTCTACAAGAAATCATACAATTTTGTCGTTACACAAAGGTCAAAGGTATGGCGTGTCTACAGTTCATTTTATTATTTTAGAAGTATATACAGTGTCTAGAATCATTTCAAAGAGTTCTAATACTGCTATTATTAATTTTCTCTAGAAGATAATTTTCCCAAGAAGATAAACCATCTATCAATAATAACTAACAAGAGAGCTCCACGTCCTAGTAGGAATTGATATAATAAATATAAATATAACTGAAATTTATAGAAGTTTATAAACAAGCACTTTAATCGAATATCTAAAATAACAATAAAACCAATTATAAATTATTCTTAATGATTTTGAGAAAAGAAATATAGACAAGCACTTTAACAATAAAACCAATTATAAATTATTCTTGATGATTTTGAGAAAAGAAATATAGACTCTGTTTGGTTAGTAGCATTTCTACAAAATAAATCTTAAACAGTAAGGTATATCCAACCAATTTTAAAGTACGAAACTAGTAAGGTATATCCAACCAATTTTAAAGTACGAAATTGTATTTAAGTACATTAACACACTTTTATTATATTTTTAATTTATATCCTTTCTTTTATTTTACTTTAATTATAATAAATATGAAAAATTAATTTAATTAAAACTCAATTTAACTTTTGTTGATACAAAAATAATTACGTAAGTAATTGATATTTATTGCTTTCTAAGTATTTATCTAACAAAATAAGTAAGTTAATGACATTAAATACATTTTTACAAATCAACCAGCTATTTAACTAAACATCGTCAATTAGTCAAAACAGCTAATACTAACAGCTGATCAACACAGTATTACAATCTGCAGTTGGTCAACACAGCTATTAAACCTGCTATCTGCCGCTAAAGCTAACCGCTAATTACCAAATAAAGCCATAATGTGAGAAATTCTTCTATAACCATTATTCACACTACAAATTTGTGAGGAATATTTACCAGTTATTTATCTCCATATAATATATGTCTTGAATAATTTTCAATTATTTCTCTCCTATTAAAAAATGAAATAATGTTGAGAAAGTTATTTCTCTATATGTAAAATATATCTGTTGAATAATCTTCCAATTATTTCTCTCCATATAAAAATGGATATTTCGTTTCTTTTCTATGAATTGAGAAACAATTTAAAACAAATAATATAAATATATATAATTAAAAACAAATATTAAATAAAAGAAAATAAATAGTGTTACCATTTTAAATTTGGGGAGATCATCTTTAGTCGGGATGTCACGTGCACCACACACTCTGAGAACCTCCTCACGTGCCTGGTCCTGCCAATAAGGGTGCATGGCCAACAATACCGTCGTCCACGTAAGCAGGTTGGAGGTGGTGTGCTTGCCGGCGAAGAAAATGGTCTTACACTCCTCCACGACATCGTTAGGTGTTATGGATGATGACGACGATTTCTCATGATAATTATGATTTGAGATGTTGCTGCTTTTTATCATGAGTTCTAATAAATCGTTAGGACATTCATCTGACATGTCAAATTGAGGCCACGATTTTGTTCGATGCTCAATAAGCTTTAGTAGCGACTTTCGAATTTCCTTTTCCAGTCTCCAAGATATTCTGTTCTTTCTCGTCGGCAAAAATCTGGATTTAATTAATAATAATAATAACAACCATGTTAGTGTAATTTTAGCGGGATTTAAGGCTTAAATAATGTTAGGCATTTTTATGGCCGGGGATTAATGCATTGATTAAATTAAACTAAGTTACCTTCTCTCCCTTTTTCATTTTCATGCACCATTATAAAATAGTCCAATATATTGTCGTGTATCGGCTATATATGTTAGACGAACCGATTCAATGTATTTTTCAAACCAAAATATATAGTAAGATTTGCCTGATTAAGTGTATTACTGATAAATAATAGTTGGGAAATATTAAGTCCCAAGATATTACCAAAAATAATAGACGAAAAATAGTAATATTGTTGCTAGTCAACTTAAGGTTAGATAGTTTGATAGTCTCGATTTAAAAATAATAATAATAAATTAATCACACTAATTAATAATTTAAAAAAAAGTTATACGATAGTAATTAGTAATTAATTAAATTAATTAGTACCTATAACCAGGGATGAACACTTTCTGATAAGCCTCGGTGGCATGGACCATTTGCTGGGACTGCAGCTCGAAAATGGCCCGCCCATCTTCGTAGCTGCTTCCGAAAGTCACCCTCGTAATCACATCCTCGACTAAATTCTCGAACCAATTAGAAACCTCGATTTCCACTTTCCCATCAATCGACATTTTCTCGGACCATTTCGTAAGTGCTGCCTCCATGCTATTCGCCATCATGGGTATCAACAGCTGTATTAAATATTCAAGAGTAGAAAAAATCAAAAATAAAAATAATATTAATAAAAGATCTTATTTATTACGTGATGGTCTTGAGATGATGTTGTTGATGATGAGTTGTAGGAAGGAATATATTTATAAATGATATATAAAAATAGGTGGCATTTAATGCTATTTTCTAAGTGAGACATGGACGAGACAGGCTTGATCAAGTGGTGCATATAGATAAATATTTCGAACTTGAGAAGTGAAAATGAAAAACATAAATTATAAGTGTTAATCTATTTTGTCAAATTGATTTATTATCGAAAATTCGCCTTTCGGTAACTGAATTTGAAAATCATTATGATGTAGCACGACTCTAAAAATAAGCTAAAATTTAAGCCAATTTTTTTTTTAAATAAAGAAAACAATGGAAATAAATACCTTGAGATTTTCAGTGTGGAAAGTTGGTTGAATAATCTTTCTGTGGTGAGCCCATTTTTCTCCTTTGAGGCTCAACAAGCCATCACCTTCAATTTTCCTCACAAGTGGGGGTGACTCATTTTTCTCAAACAGCTCTGATTTCAAGATGAAAATCTCTCTGATGAGGGCCGGGTCAGAGACTGTTAGACGGGCCGTCGGCCCGAACCAAACTAGGAACATTGAACCTGCATAAAAAAAAAGAATGGAATTAGTTCATGAATTAGTTGTGGAGTATAAATGTTCAAAGGGTCCCCCCTATAATTTAAATTAGAAGTTGTTGAGGCTTACCTACATACAATAGTACCAAAAAGTGCATGTACAAAGCATGTAAAGATTTAATATGCTCTGGCTTAATAATTTAAATATGCTGTTTATACTAAAAGAGTAGGCCATGATAACAATTTTACTTTTTTTTTTGGAAAAAATAAATAAAGTGATAAAGTTTTTTGTTATCATATTTTTCAGAGGGCTATGGATAGTGTAGACCCTACAGATCATAAACACCAACTTTCTTGGCTGATCATTTGGAAAAAGAGCAAATGGGAGAAAAAAAATTTGGAAAAGTGCAAGAAGTTGATACCATAGACAACTAAGACAAGACAAGCTTCAAGAATGCAATGATCCAACAGCCCAATTATTAAAAA